GAGACAAGGGTGTCCACTATCTCCATTATTATTTATCTTTACTTTGGAAGTGTTAAATAGAAGGATAAGACAGGACACAGAAATTAAAGGATTGAAAATAAAAGATGAAACATATAAGTTACAAGCATTTGCTGATGATTTAGTGTTTATCTTGGAAGAACCTTTAGAGATGATTCCTAAACTATGGGGAAAGATAGAAAAGTATGGAGAAATGGCAGGACTAAAAATAAAGAAAAAACTAAAGTAATAGTTAAGAACCTCACAGATAAACAAAAAAGGCAAATACTAGAGAAAACAGAGGTACAAATAGTGAAAAAAGTTAAATATTTAGGTATTCATCTTTCGGCTAAGTGTTCGTCAATGAAAGAAGACAATTATACAAAATTATTGAAGCAAATAAAGCTAGACTTGGAAAGATGGAAAAATCTACAGCTGTCAATATTAGGAAGAATTGCTACAGTAAAAATGAATGTGTTGCCGAAGATTTTATTTCTATTTCAAACGATTCCGATAAAACTTGAGAGAAAATTCTTTCAAGATTTAAATTAATTAATTTTGAACTTTATTTGGCAGGGGAAGAAAGCTAGAATTAAGATGATGCTAAGGAAAATGGAGGTTTTGGGTTGCCGGAATGGACGTTGTATTACCAAGCATCTGTGTTAACATGGGTGAAAGAGTGGATAACACTTAGAAATAAAAGGTTGTTGTATCTAGAGGGACATGATTTACAATTGGGATGGCACGTTTTCTTATGGTATGGGAAAAACAGAGTCCATAAGTACTTTCAAAATCATTTTATAAGAAATGCCTTGTCAACAGTATGGGGAAAAATTAAAGCTAAAATATATCTAAAAATTCCAGGGTGGTTATCAGCGATGGAGGCATTTATACATCCGAACTTGGTGGACTTTGAAAAAATATGGACATATAGAGATATTCTAAATATTGATGGGAAATTAAAATCTAAACAAGAACTGGAAAATCAGGGAAATAACCTGTCCTGGTGGGCACATTTACAGATACAAAGTAGATATGAAAAAGATGTAAAAATGTATGGATTTTATAAGGATCAAACTGTGTTTGATAAGATTTTGTTAATCTCAGATGAGAAATTAATTAAGAAAATGTATAAATTTTTGTTAATTTTGGATATGGAAAGTGAACAAGTGAAAGAAACAATGATAAGATGGGCGAAAAACTTTGGCTATAATATAGAATTAGAAAAATGGCAAATGTTATGGGAGAGAAACTACAAACTAACAATGTCAACTTCATATAAAGAAAATCTGTATAAAATGTTTTATAGATGGCACCTGCCACCAGCAAGATTAGCAAAAATGTTTAAAAATATGTCAGATAGATGTTGGAAATGTAAACATAACATAGGCACGTACTATCACATTTGGTGGACATGTGGCAAGGCTAAGGCCTATTGGAGAAAGATACATATGTGGTTAGAAAAAATATTGGGTGAACAAGTGGATTTTAAACCTGAACTTTTTTTACTAGGTATTATGCCTGAAAAGACTAATAAGCAGAAATTATATTTAATCTTACACATCACCACAGCAGCGAGAATAATTTTTGCACAAACTGGAAGAATGAAGGATTGCCATCAGAAGAAGAAATAATCAGGAAAATATTGGAATGTGCAGAGATGGACAGATTAACAATGAGGTTGAAAGATAAAGAAGATACAGACTATAATCAAACTTGGGACTTATTTTATTGTTGGCTAGAGGAAAGAATGAAGGATTAGGAATTGAACATGTATTAGCATAA